ACGTTAACTCCATTAAAGCATCATGTTAGCTCCATGTTAGCATCACGTTAACTCCATGTTAGCATCACGTTAGCTCAATGTTAGCATCACGTTAACTCCATGTTAGCATCACGTTAGCTCCATGTTAGCATCACGTTAACTCAATGTTAGCATCACGTTAACTCCATGTTAGCATCACGTAAGCTCCATGTTAGCATCACGTAAGCTCCATGTTAGCATCACTTTAGCTGCACGTTAGCTCCATTAAAGCATCATGTTAGCTCCATGTTAGCATCACGTTAACTCCATGTTAGCATCACGTAAGCTCCGGGTGTAACTCCATTAAAGCATCACGTTAACTCCATGTTAGCATCACGTTGGCTCCACGTTAGCATCACATCAGCTCCACGTTAGCATCACATCAGCTCCATGTTAGCATCACGTCAGCTCCGGGTGTAACTCCATTAAAGCATCACGTTAACTCCATGTTAGCATCACATCAGCTCCATGTTAGCATCACGTCAGCTCCGGGTGTAACTCCATGTTAGCATCACGTTAACTCCATGTTAGCATCACGTTAGCTCCATGTTAGCATCACGTTAACTCCATGTTAGCATCACGTTAACTCAATGTTAGCATCACGTTAACTCCATGTTAGCATCACGTAAGCTCCATGTTAGCATCACGTAAGCTCCATGTTAGCATCACTTTAGCTGCACGTTAGCTCCATTAAAGCATCATGTTAGCTCCATGTTAGCATCACGTTAACTCCATGTTAGCATCACGTAAGCTCCATGTTAGCATCACTTTAGCTGCATGTAAGCTCCATGTTAGCATCACTTTAGCTGCACGTAAGCTCCATTAAAGCATCAAGTTAGCTCCATGTTAGCATCACATCAGCTCCATGTTAGCATCACATTAGCTCAGCTCCATGTTAGCATCACACTAGCGTCAGTTAGAGTCAAGCAAGCATCACTTTAGATTCATGTTAGCTCCTTATTAGCTTCACGTTAGCACCATGTTGACATTAGGTAAGCTCCCTGATAGCTTCATGCTAACTCTCCGGTGGTGTTGAACCATCAGGTGTGCAGCTCTGCACTTTTTTCCCCTCAGTTTAGAGAGATTACACAACTAGCACATTGCTAAGCTAACCAAACACAGCTGTTGATGACTCGCTGGGACCAGCAGGGGGAGGGGTCTCCTGAGGCCCCGCCCCGCCCCCCTGTGGCCCTTCCCCCCTCCACTATGAGGAGGCGGCTTGCTTCCTGAACGTCTGGAGGAACGCCTTCATCCCCTTCCTGCTGAGGGGGGGGAGGGGGGGGAGAGGGGGGAGGGGTGGGAGGGAGCTCCTCCTCTTGACCTTTGGGGTCACGCTCCATGACTTCATCCTCGGGGGGGGGGTCTGCGCCACCAAACACCTCTGATACTGCACCTGTACACAGGAAGTGAGAGGTAATACACCTGTACACAGGAAGTGAGAGGTAATACACCTGTACACAGGAAGTGAGAGATAATAGGCTTGTTTGAGACGAGCGAGACCGACGCAAACCTGCGCAATTGCGATCAACGTCTTGCTAGTGCGTTGCATGATGGTTAGTCATTTTGTCCGACTTGCTCTGGAGGCTCGCCTACATGAGACGTTGAAATCTCGCGGGACAAAGACGCCCGCAGACTTGAGAGCGAGGCGCGACGAGGCGGCGCAGTTTCTCTCCACGAGCTGCGGAAGCTAAATGCTTGATGGGAAACGACTCGCTGGTATCTCGAGCTGAGCACTCATTGGTGGTTTTTACCCCGTGCTGGTGATGAAACTCTCCATTGGCTCCGCAAAAGTGTGTTGTTGTTTTGTGTCAGTTTTACGTCGCCACTTCCATTCACATTTTTCATCATTGTTCCACAATGTTTATCATCATGAAATTAATATCTATATATTTTATACTATACTTGCACTGCTTACCGTTACTTTATATATCTTAGCATATTCATACACACTGTTCATACTGCTCACAGGCTGCTGTGTATATCTAGTGTATTCATACACACTGTTCATACTGCTCACAGGCTGCTGTGTATCTAGTGTATTCATACCCCTCACTGTTTATTCATCATTCAATTCATTCTATATTTTATTCTGTAGATTGTGTACATTACTTTTCACTTTACTGCTTGTTGCACTCCTGGTTAGAAGCTAAACTGCATTTCGTTGTCTCAGTACCTGTAATATGTGCAATAACAATCAAATTGAATCTAATCTTGAGCAGGAACAAATGTATTTACTTAGTACATATCTGACATTAACGATTAAACACATTTATGCATTCTTTATAAATGCAAACCGAGTCAAGCCGACTCCGGGGGTGGCGGTATGCACCTTAACCTGTTAAGCCCTGAGCCTGTTTTTCAGGTCTCAGGCTCGAAAATGCCATTCCCAGAACAAATGACCATATCTTCCCTTCTAAAAGGGTTAAATTAATAATCTTTTTTCTCAAAGTAATGATAAACCTGTGAGTTGGATGTAGAAAAGTCAGAATCAATATAGATGTTTTTTATTTTAAAGAAAATTCAGATTGAACATAAATTGTAGTGTCCGTCCAAAAACATTTTTTACTTATAGTGAAAACTACCCTTGGATGATGGGTTAGTAGACTAAAAGCTTTAGGAATCCAAAGTACAACATATAATAAGTACCCTGTATCAAGATTGATGCAAAACAAGTGACATTTGACCTTTTTAGAGAGATTTAGCAAAAAGAAACCACTTCTGGGGTCATTTGGGTGGATTTTCCATATCTCTGGAACCCATTGGTCGATTTTGATGGTTGACACCTCTTTCTGACCGTTAGAGCCAATAGAATCGAAGGGGGATTCCCCCACAAACACTCATTGTGAAACGAAAAGGTGGGGGCTTCGCACATGCAGTTTAGCATCAGAGTGGACCTATCTCTAGCTTTGACATCTGGAAACGGAAAAGCAGTTTTAATGCTTATGGATTATCAGAAATCATTTGATTGGCCGGTGCTCCTCACCATGCACGCCGCCTGCACGGCCTCAGACAGCTGCCCTGCGTCCGGCTCGCTCCAGAACACGTGAGCCTCGAAGCGCTGCGCCCCCCCGTCACAGATCACAGCGAAGGTGTGGCAGTCGTGGCCGACGCCCAGGAAGGTGAGGAGGCGTACCTGACACTCCCACAGAGGCTCCTCCCCCTCCTGTAGGAGCCAATCAGAGAGGAGAACCACTGTCACCTGACAGAGGTACCAGGATGCTGGAGTACAAATACTTTGTTACTGTACTTAAGAACATGTTTCTGGTATCAGTACTTTACTCCACTACTTATTTTTCTGACGACTTTTTACTTTTTACTACAAATACCTGTACTTTCTACTTCTTACATGTTGAACACAAATACCTGTACTTTATACTTCTTACATGTTGAACACAAATACCTGTACTTTCTACTTCTTACATTTTGAACACAAATACCTGTACTTTCTACTTCTTACATTTTGAACACAAATACCTGTACTTTCTACTTCTTACATTTTGAACCCAAATACCTGTACTTTCTACTTCTTACATTTTGAACCCAAATACCTGTACTTTCTACTTCTTACATTTTGAACACAAATACCTGTACTTTCTACTTCTTACATGTTGAACACAAATACCTGTACTTTCTACTTCTTACATTTTCCAAACAGGCTGGTTCCTTTAGTTTGAATGTGTGTTTGGTGGCGTGATCATTATTATTTAGAGTCATTGCGTGCCTATTGATTTGAACACGATCCGTGTATCCATCATTTCCTGGTCTTCTCTAAAGAAGAGGGACCAATGAAAACGTTGTCATGTTGCCGTTGTTCAGCATGGAAACATTCATTAGCTAACAATGACATTATTGTTCTATTAATATAAAGGGAGGTCAGGTACTCTTTAAAACAGCTGCTAGTTATGGGTACTTTTTACTGAAGTACATTTCAAAGCCCTCTTTACTTTGACTTGAGGAAAGAAGTTTAGTCAGTACTTCTACTTTCACCAGAGTATCTTAAACACGAGTATCTGTACTTCTACTTGAGGAAAGGATGTGTACTTCTACTTGAGTAAAGGATGTGTACTTCTACTTGAGTAAAGGATTTGTGTACTTTTACATCTCTGGATGTAATCTGACAGGTAAAGGTGTATCTGACAGGTAAAGGTGTATCTGACAGGTAAAGGTGTATCTGACAGATAAAGGTGTATCTGACAGGTAAAGGTGTATCTGACGGGTAAAGGTGTATCTGACAGGTAAAGGTGTATCTGACAGGTAAAGGTGTATCTGACAGATAAAGGTGTATCTGACAGGTAAAGGTGTATCTGACGGGTAAAGGTGTATCTGACAGGTAAAGGTGTATCCGACAGGTAAAGGTGTATCCGACAGGTAAAGGTGTATCTGACAGGTAAAGGTGTACCTCTCCCCTCCACAGGGACAGGATGTGGTCTGTGACATGGATCACTGCTGGTTCCCACTCCTCTCGGTCTGTGGCGTTCAGGATGCTCTCTATGGCTCGGTTCAACACCTCCATACCTGAGGAGAATCACAGGTGAGAGTTCAGGTGAGAGTTCAGGTGAGAGTTCAGGTGAGAGTTCAGGTGCGGCAGGGTTACTCAGGGAAATGAAAAGGCTACAAAACATTCTGAAAGTGAAAAAATAGGTGAGGAAGGTGTGTTCAGGTGTGTTTAAGTGTGTCCAGGTGTGTATAAGTGTGTTCAGGTGTGTATAAGTATGTACAGGTGTATACAGGTGTGTTCAGGTGTGTATAGGTGTGTCCAGGTGTGTATAAGTGTGTTCAGGTGTGTATAAGTATGTACAAGTTTATACAGGTGTGTTTGATTGATTGATTGATTGAAAAGTTTATTAACAGCTTGTATATTGGGTACAGTACAGTACAGCTCAAAACATACAATTGTTAAGGGGATGCAGACCAGAGAAAGACTTTCGTCTTGTTTACATCAGGGTCCCCCATTTCCAATTCATCATAAATGAATGTGCAGGTGTGTATAAGTATGTACAGGTGTATACAGGTGTGTTCAGGTGTGTATAGGTGTGTCCAGGAGTGTATAAGTGTGTTCAGATGTGTACAGGTGTGCTCAGGTGTGTTCAGGTGTATACAGGTGTGTTCAGGTGTGTACAGGTGTGCTCAGGTGTGTCCAGGTGTGTTCAGGTGTATACAGGTGTGTTCAGGTGTGTACAGGTGTGCTCAGGTGTGTTCAGGTGTGTTTCCCTCCTACCCATGGCTCTGGACACCGGCAGGTTCCCGATGTATTGAACCTCAAACTTCTGCTCCTGCTGCCGCACCGCCTCCAGGAACTCCACTGAAACGACAACAGAGAGTCAGCAGCCAATCAGAGCGCAGCAGGTGATGTCAGAGCTCAGATGAGGCACCTTGTCGGGGAAGGTCTTCAGGTGAGATGTTGTCCATCGTCAGAGAGCGAGACGGCCTCATCAGTGTCTGGTCTGACATCATCTGCAGAGGAAACACCTGTTTAATGCTCAGCTGATGCTAACACTGTGAGCATCACACCTGAGGGGATGCTAACACTGTGAGCATCACACCTGAGGGGATGCTAACATGCTAACACAGTGAGCATCACACCTGAGGGGATGCTAACATGCTAACACAGTGAGCATCACACCTGAGGGGATGCTAACATGCTAACACTGTGAGCATCACACCTGAGGGGATTCTATCATGCTAACACTGTGAGCATCACACCTGAGGGGATGCTAACATGCTAACACAGTGAGCATCACACCTGAGGGGATGCTAACATGCTAACACTGTGAGCATCACACCTGAGGGGATGCTAACATGCTAACACAGTGAGCATCATACCTGAGGGGATTCTAACATGCTAACACAGTGAGCATCACACCTGAAGGGATGCTAACATGCTAACACAGTGAGCATCACACCTGAGGGGATGCTAACATGCTAACACTGTGAGCATCACACCTGAAGGGATGCTAACATGCTAATACAGTGAGCATCACACCTGAGGGGATGCTAACATGCTAATACAGTGAGCATCACACCTGAGGGGGTGCTAACATGCTAACACTGTGAGCATCACACCTGAGGGGATGCTAACATGCTAAGCTAACACTCAGCACTGACTTTGGAGCACATCTCGTGCAACGCTGAGGCGATGGTTCGGGCCGGAGCGTCGCAGCGGAATACGTGACACTTCAGAACACAGCTGTCCTTATCGCCCGCCACAAAGGCAAAGTCCCTGAGCACCCCACACACACACACACACGCACACACACACGCACACACACACGCACACACACACTGATGGTGAAACTTGAGAATGAGGTGTTGTGTATCGACAGCTCACTGATAGCTGTTAGCTGTTAGCTGTGGGAGGTAAAGGTGAGAGGTTACCTGTCCCTGCAGGTGGGAGGGGGGGGGCGGGTTCAAGAGACAGAGAGAGAGACAGGTTTAGTGCAAAAAGAGGGAGACAAACAAGAGAGCAGACAGACAGGTTTGTTTTAGTTTAACTTTGTTAGCCTAGCTTAGCACAAAGCCAGGCAACAGGGGGGAATGTGAGCCTAGCTTAGCACAAATAGTAGAAACAGGGGGGAATGTTAGCCTAGCTTAGCACAAAGAATGGTAGCGGGGGGGGGGGGCTGTTAGCCTAGCTTAGCATCTGATTGGCTCACCGGCCGTTGTTGCAGCCGACCCCCCACACTCTGATGTTAATGATTGGCTGACAGTGAAGTGGGGTGTGGTCTAAAGGGTCCAATAGGGAGAGAGTGTCTTTCTTCAGGACGAGCATCATCTCCCGACCCTGCAGACAGACAGACAGACAGTTAGAGAGACAGACAGACAGACAGACAGACAGACAGACAGACAGACAGACAGACAGACAGACAGACAGACAGACAGACAGACAGACAGACAGACAGGCTGTCTCACCTCCCCCCAGGCTCCCTGCCTGTCTCTCTGCTCTGGGCTGCTGCAGCGAGACAGCTGCTGGATCACATGACTGACAGCCAGGCTGCTGCGACCCGGAGACAGATCGTCCTCCTGGACCTCCAACCAGCCGAGAGACCGCACCGAGAAGCACTGAGACAGGTGAGGGACAGGTGAGAGACAGGTGAGAGACAGGTGAGGGACAGGTGAGAGACAGGTGAGGGACAGGTGAGAGACAGACAGGTGAGAGACAGGAGACAGACAGGTGAGAGACAGACAGGTGAGAGACAGGTGAGAGACAGGTGAGGGACAGGTGAGAGACAGGAGAGGGCAGGTGAGAGACAGGTGAGAGACAGGTGAGAGACAGGTGAGAGACAGGTGAGGGACAGGTGAGAGACAGGAGAGGGCAGGTGAGAGACAGGTGAGAGACAGGTGAGAGACAGGTGACAGATAGGTGAGAGACAGGTGACAGACAGGTGAGAGACAGGTGACAGACAGGTGACAGACAGGTGAGAGACAGGTGAGAGACAGGTGACAGATAGGTGAGAGACAGGTGACAGACAGGTGAGAGACAGGTGACAGACAGGTGACAGACAGGTGAGAGACAGGTGACAGCAGGAAGTCTCAGGTTTACCTTAGAGCTGGGGTCGTTGGACAGGAAGTCTTCATGCCAGGAACACCTGAGAGAGAGACACAATCAGAGAGAGAGTGTGTGTGTGTGTGTGTGTGTGTGTGTGTGTGTGTGTGTGTGTGTGTGTGTGTGTGTGTGTGTGTGTGTGTGTGTGTGTGTGTGTGTGTGTGTGTGTGTGTGTGTGTGTGTGTGTGTGTGTACCTGCTCTCAGCTGCTCTGTGTGTCTCCTCTTCCTGCTGACCACAGAAGAAGACTGCGTTAAACACAGGTAAACACACCTATGGGGATCTAAACTACAGTGTGTGTGTGTGTGTGTGTGTGTGTGTGTGTGTGTGTGTGTGTGTGTGTGTGTGTGTGTGTGTGTGTGTGTGTGTCTGTGTGTGTGTGTGTCTTTGTGTGTGTCTGTGTGTGTGTCTGTGTGTGTGTCTGTGTGTGTGTACCTGTGTGTGCCTGTGTGTGTACCTGTGTGTGTGTCTGTGTGTGCCTGTGTGTGTACCTGTGTGAGTGCCTGTGTGTGTACCTGTGTGTGTACCTGTGTGTACCTGTGTGTGTACCTGTGTGTGTACCTGTGTGTGTACAGTAGGGCTGCTCAGTTAATCGTATTTTAATCGCGATTACGATTATGGCTTGTAACGATTACAAAAATAACGTAATCGAAATAAAACGATTATTTTTGTATTATTATTACTTTTTTTTTTTTTGGTTTTTCAGTTGAATTATACTTAAAGTTCAGGGTAATCAACTGTTAAAAAAAAAATTCAAAGTAAATGGATAATCGTTTTTAACCTGTTAAACCCCACGGACCCGCCGAAGGGTCCGAAAATGCTACATCTGCTAGCACCAGTGTGATCTCTGAAGTGTAATTTATAAAACTATTAATGTTCCACACCCAGCTGACGGGAAGAAACTCAGCTAACTGACGATACGAAAAGAAAAAAAAAAATAATAATAATAATTCCCACAAGAAGCCTTTCAATGAGCCCTTAGCAAAGACGGACTAATGCTATTTCTGCTCATAACTCACAAAAATGATCATTTATAATTCATACTTTCTGCACAAACAACACATCATCTGAAAGCTGAGATTCCACAGATTCCATGGGTATACACCCCATCACTGCAGGCAAGAATTCACTGAGCTAGCAGCCAGAACATAGCAAATAAACAACATCAGTTTTCAAATCCATGACAATAATTAGCAGGTTACATTTTACAATAATCTTCTTTTTTTTTCTTTTTTTTTTATGGAATGAATAACTATAGTGATGATTCAATGTTATAAAATGATTTTTACAGTCTGGTACCTGAAAAAGGTCAAATGGAACCAGATGTGCCCAAATGTGCCCAAAGCTTAGTACGCCTGGACTTTTTTTTCCCTAAATCTCTCTAAAAAGGTAAATTCTCACTTGTTTTGCCTCAATCTTGATACAGGGTACTTATTATATGATATACTTTGGATTCCTAAAGCTTTTAGTCTACCATCCCATCATCCAAGGGTGGTTTTCCCTATAAGTAATGGGTTTTTTTTAGGCGGAGGTAAGAATGTACACTTTTTTACCATATTCCATCTGAATTTACTCTGACACAGAAACATCTATATTGATTCTGACACTTCTACATCCAACTCACAGATGTAACCTTGCTTTGAGAAAAAAGATTATTAATTTAACACTTTTAGAAATGAAGTTATAGTAATTTGTTCTGGGCATGTCATTTTCGAGCCTGAAACCTGAAAAACAGGCTTGGGGTCTCATATCAATTATTGACCCAAATAATCAAGATTATGATTTTTGCCATAATCGAGCAGCCCTAGTCTTCAGTACAGGTGGCAGTATTGTCACCGGCTGCGCTCATCCCTGAAACCAGACCATGTAAACAGGCTGGTGTTTCTAGCAGCCCTACCAGCATTTGCCATGGAGGCCAACACATTTTTATTTGGTCTTAAATTGTAGTTCAACATTTATTTCCTGTTACTTCTGGACCATGACGGTGGGCCAGCCTTTAATGTTTAACTGAGTAGAATATGTTGAATATGTTTTACCAAAGTGTTGGCTATATGGTAAGGAGTTTTCAGGTTGTGACCGTGCACTGCAACATGTTTGTTGATCTTGTTTATTGGTATTTATTATTTTGATATTATTTATTTAAATGTAGACATGAATGTATAATTTATTTGATTTGATTTTGTATTGGTTTTTCAGTTGATTACCGTGAACAAATAATTCAACAGTTAAAAAGTTCAAATTATTATTTGTATTTGTTTTAAAGTTCAATAAATGGATGTTTTCAAAGTCAATGAATAATCGCATTTAATAATCGCAATTACAATTATTGACCCAAATAATCGAGATTATGATTTTTGCCATAATCGAGCAGCCCTAGTGTACAGGTGTGTGTACCTGTGTGAGCACCTGTGTGTGTGTGTACCTGTGTGTGTACCTGTGTACATGTGTACCTGTGTGTGTACCTGTGTACCTGTGTGTGTACAGGTGTGTGTACCTGTGTACCTGTGCAGGTGAGGTGCGGGGGTGCGTCCACTGGGTGTCTCCACTGGGGACATGCCAGTAATACGTCCCAGCTGAGTCTCTGATGGTCCTCCAGCCTGGAGGCAGGTCAGGGTCCAGCTGCAGGTTCTGGTCCGTCCAGATGTTGTCTGTCCACACAGTGGACATAAAGACACTTTATTTAGACTCACCTGAAGAGCTGTGATACATTCAGCAGGGACTCAGAGACACAGAGTCCTCAGAGACACAGATACACAAAGACTCAGAGACACAGAGTCCTCAGAGACACAGATACACAAAGGCTCAGAGACACAGAGTCCTCAGAGACACAGATACACAAAGACTCAGAGACACAGAGACTCAGAGACACAGAGTCCTCAGAGACACAGAGACTCAGAGACACAGAGTCCTCAGAGACACAGATACACAAAGACTCAGAGACACAGAGACCTCAGAGACACAGATACACAAAGACTCAGAGACACAGAGACTCAGAGACACAGAGACACAGAGACTCAGAGACACAGAGTCCTCAGCGACACAGATACACAAAGACTCAGAGACACAGAGACTCACGAGACACAGAGTCCTCAGAGGCACAGAGTCCTTAGAGACACAGAGACTCAGAGACACAGAGTCCTCAGAGACACAGAGACACAGAGTCCTCAGAGACACAGTGTCCTCAGAGACACAGATACACAAAGACTCAGAGACACAGAGACTCACGAGACACAGAGTCCTCTAGAGACACAGAGACACAGAGTCCTCAGAGACACAGAGTCCTCAGAGACACAGATACACAAAGACTCAGAGACACAGAGACTCACGAGACACAGAGTCCTCAGAGACACAGAGACACAGAGACACAGAGTCCTTAGAGACACAGAGACTCAGAGACTCAGAGACTCAGAGTCCTCAGAGACACAGAGACTCAGAGACACAGAGACTCAGAGACACAGAGTCCTCAGAGTCCTCAGAGACACAGAGACTCAGAGACACAGAGACTCAGAGACACAGAGTCCTCAGAGTCCTCAGAGACACATAGTCCTCAGAGACACAGAGACTCAGAGACACAGAGACACAGAGTCCTCAGAGACTCAGAGACACAGAGTCCTCAGAGACACAGTGTCCTCAGAGACACAGTGTCCTCAGAGACACAGAGTCCTTAGAGACTCAGACACACAGAAGAGACACAGAGACTCAAAGACACAGAGTCCTCAGAGACACAGAGACTCAGAGACTCAGAGACACAGAGTCCTCAGAGACTCAGAGACACAGAGTCCTCAGAGACTCAGAGACTCAGAGACTCAGAGACACAGAGTCCTCAGAGACACAGAGACTCAGAGACTCAGAGACTCAGAGACACAGAGTCCTCAGAGACTCAGAGACACAGAGTCCTCAGAGACTCAGAGACACAGAGTCCTCAGAGACACAGTGTCCTCAGAGACACAGTGTCCTCAGTGATGTCAGACTGCAGGACTCTGAATCATTAATGAGATCATAACACTGAGTCAGCTGATCCACTGACAATAATACACACTGCAGAAGAAGAGAGGGTCAATAACTACTCAGTCTGTCCTCTGTCCTCTCTGTCCTCTCCCTGGGAGTCTGTCCTCTCTGTCCTCTCCCTGGGAGTCTGTCCTCTCTGTCCTCTCCCTGGGAGTCTGTCCTCTCTGTCCTGGGGGGGGGGGGGGGGGGGGGCAACGACAGGTGTCAGGTGACAGGAAGTGATGTCATCGTGTGCACAGCAGGAAGCTCCGCCCCCAACGACCCATTTTCACTTTAGTGTTGAAACAAACATGTAAAAAACAACAACAACAACAGTCCTCTTACAGCAGGATTAGTCTGTCTGTCTGTCTGTCTGTCTGTCTGTCTGTCTGTGTGTGTGTGTGTGTGTGTGTGTGGTGTGTGTGTGTGTGTGTGTGTGGTGTGTGTGTGTGTGGTGTGTGTGTGTGTGTGTGTGTGTGTGTTAGTGTGTGTGTGTGTGTGTGTGTGTGTGTGTGTGTGTCTCACCGTCATAGTTCACTATGAGGATGGCCAGCATGTAATCTTTGCCCATCATGGCTCCGCCTTCCAACATTTGTGCTCCAATCAGCTGATCTCACACACACACACACACACACACACACACACACACACACACACACACACACACACTCACTCACTCACTCACTCACTCACACACTCTCTCACACACACACACACTCTCTCAGGTCTAGATTGAGGACAGCGTCTCTCAGTAACATCCGTCTCTTCTTCTTTGTTGGTGTCCGTCCCGGCGTCTCCTCCTCAGTCTGATGAAGGATGCTCGTATTCCTCCCTCTCTCGCCCTCTGCTCTCTCTCTCGCCCTCCTCTCTCTCTCTCCTCTCTCTCTCTCTCTCTCCTCTCTCTCTCCTCCCCCACCTAACGTGACGTCACCCCCTCCCTCTCCCCGTCCTCCTCTCTCTCTCTCATCCCTCTCCCCGTCCTCCTCTCTCTCTCTCTCCTCCCTCTCCCCGTCCTCCTCTCTCTCTCTCTCCTCCCTCTCCCCGTCCTCCTCTCTCCTCTCTCCCTCTCTCTCTCTCTTGCCCCCTCTCCCCGCCCTCCTCTCTCGACCTTCACTGTATAATAGAACCCTTTAACATGAGTCATTCCGTAAAAACGGGTGTTATGGTAAATAATAACATCATTTTAATGTTGTTGTTGTTGTTGTTTAATGTTGATTGTAATTCATTCAATAGGACCCTGCAGATGTATGTATGTGACTTAGATACTGTATACAGGCATAACCAGCATGTATCTTACTCTAAAGAGAGTTTTATAAACATACTTATCATATGTATAAGGGATATTAAACGGCTGATCACCTGACTAGTGCCTGTGACGTCACAGCAGGATGACAGAGGTGTCCACGTGGCACGGAAATGTTTTCCCGGCAGGAGTGCGTTAAGCTCAAAAACATCACAGGAACTCCCGCCAAGACTCCTTCAAAGTAAAAGCCTAAAGAGAATTGTGACACGCAAACATTCATCATAATGCACCAATATGACAACAACAACAACAAACATGAGTCACAAGCAGTGAATTAATGAGCTCTGATGTTTATCTTCCCCTCTTATGGTTCATTAGAAACTGATGACGTGTTTTATTTTGAAAGTCTGAGCGGAAGTGCTCCGTGTTGTTGACTCTGATATTGACTCGCTGTTTCTCCCGGATTGGCTGGCTGCTCTAATTTAACATTAGTTTCAAGAGTCACTTTAAAAGCCTCTGTTGTTTACCTTAGCTTAGCTTAGCTTTTCGGGTTAGCTTAGCTGGTAGCAGCAGCAGCTGTTTATATACTGTTGAACACAGAGGAACTACAGACTGTGAATATACAGATACAGAGATATACAGATACAGATACAGCCGGAGGGCCAGCATGGAGGACAGGTACATCAAACCAGGTGAGAGACGGGGACACGTCATTAGTCTCTGTGATGCTAAAGAGCTAACAGTTAGCATCACAGAGAAGTAGACCAAGTAGAAAAGTGTTATCATCAAAATATGGTTAAAGTAGAAGTACTCAGGTCTAGTACTTCAGTAAAAGTAGAAGTACTCAGGTCTAGTACTCAGGTGTAGTACTTCAGTAAAAGTAGAAGTACTCAGGTCTAGTACTTCAGTAAAAGTAGAAGTACTCAGATCTTGTACTTGAGTAAAAGTAGAAGTACTCAGATCTTGTACTTGAGTAAAGTAGAAGTACTCAGATCTTGTACTTGAGTAAAAGAAGAAGTACTCAGGTCTTGTACTTGAGTCAAAGTAGAAGTACTCAGATCTTGTACTTGAGTAAAAGTAGAAGTACTCAGATCTTGTATTTGAGTAAAAGTAGAAGTACTCAGATCTTGTACTTGAGTAAAAGAAGAAGTACTCAGATCTTGTACTTGAGTAAAAGTAGAAGTACTCAGATCTTGTACTTGAGTAAAAGTAGAAGTACTCAGGTCTTGTACTTGAGTAAAAGTAGAAGTACTCAGATCTTGTACTTGAGTAAAAGTAGAAGTACCAGAGTGTAGGAATACTCTGTTTCAGTCAAAGTCCTGCATTCAAAATGTTCCTCAAGTGAAAGTAGAAAAGTATTCATCAAAATATAGTGAAAGTAGCGACAGTAAAAGTAGTCATTGTGCAGATTGGTCTATTTCAGAATAATATATATGATATGTTTTATAATGATTGATCACTAAAGTGTTCTCAAAGCTGGTAAAGCTGCAGCTAGTTTGAATGACTTTGTATACTGCAGGGAACATAGCCGTGGGAACATGTTTCAGATGGGGGGGGCTGTGGGGAGGACACCAGTTTGCTGCCCTCTACAAAAGACCAATACACTACAAACAGAGAAACGTATTGACATGGTGGACAGCTTATATAAAAAGGCTTCAAATGTATTTAGTATTGTATGAACATGTTTTAATTGGGAGGTGGACAGAGGCGCGGGAAGGTATTTTGAGTGGGGGTGCTGAGGTGCTGTCCGATGTGCACTATCGAGCACGCACAAAAGCGCGAGCACACACACACTAAGAGCTGTGATACATTCTGCAGGGACACAGAGACGGCCCGTTTTTGGTTGCGTTTCCACTTGGCGTAGTTTCGGCTAGCGGGTTCTATTTCACAGTTTTTCTGGCCCCATTAAATGGAGGTTCTTATCTTATGGCGCATTTCCACCGCAGGCCTCGCTCGACTTAGTACGGTTTTGTTAGGCCTTGTTAGGCCCGGCTCACTTTAATGCTGCGCTTCCACTATAGTTTAGGAACTGGGGTAGTATCTATGGTAACGCAGTGTAGGCGGAGCCGTGACGTCATCTTCAATGAGCACCCCAGAAAAACAACACAGCCGTTAGCTGTTAGCACTCAGAGCTCACAGCTCCTCATATCTGTTCAGAAACTAGACAAAAGTGAAAGAAGTGCAAACCACAGACTGTCTGTGTCATGGCGAGTACAGTCGCTGGTTTATTTATGTCTGTATAGGCCGTTGTTGTGAGTGCGGACGGTCGGAGCATATACTGCGTTAGCTTAGCCAATCTCCATTTAGAAAACACGCATTTTAAAAGGTTTTTCGCCTGCCGTCTGTCTGCAGACTTGTCAAAGCATTAATTCATGGTTTTTACTAACCGGTATCAGTATGTTGTTACTTCGGCATCATTTTGAAACGTGTATTACAATTAAATCACGGTCAAATATGTTCATCTTGTTGTAGTTGTAGCGATTCTCTCTCTAGTTTAGCAAACTCAGCCCGACTCAGCCCTGTTTGTTGGCCCCGATAGAACCACGATTTTGTCGGGCCAGAAAAAAGGTGAAAAAGTAGCCCCGGGCTGGAACTAGGCCTAGTGGAAACGCAACCAAAAACGGGCCCGGCACGACACGGCACGCTTAAACCGCGCTCTGCGCCATGGTGGAAATGCGCCATTAGCGGGCCAACAACCAGGCTGAGTATGCTAAACTAGAGAGAGAGAAAATCGCTGGCAAGGGGGCTACACTCACCTGTCTCTCTGGCACTCACCTGTCTCTCTGACACTCACCTGTCTCTCTGACACACACCTGTCTGTCTCTCTGACACTCACCTTTCTCTCTCACTCTCACCTTTCTCTCTCACTCTCACCTTTCTCTCTCACTCTCACCTTTCTCTCTCACTCTCACCTTTCTCTCTCACTCTCACCTGTCTCTCTGACACTCACCTGTCTCTCTCTGACACTCACCTGTCTCTCTCACTCTCACCTTTCTCTCTCACTCTCACCTGTCTCTCTGACACTCACCTGTCTCTCTGACACTCGCCTGTCTGTCTCTCTGACACTCACCTGTCTCTCTCACTCTCACCTATCTCTTTGACACTCACCTGTCTGTCTCTCTGGCACTCACTTGTCTCTCTGACGATCACCTGTCTCTCTGACACTCACATGTCTCTCTCACCTGTCTCTCTGACACTCACCTGTCTGTCTCTCTGGCACTCACCTGTCTCTCTGACACAGACCTGTCTGTCTCTCTGACACTCACCTGTCTCTCTCACTCTCACCTGTCTCTCTGACACTCACCTGTCTGTCTCGCTCTCACCTGTCTCTCTGACACTCACCTGTCTCTCTGACACTCACCTGTCTCTCTGACACACACCTGTCGGTCGCTCTGGCACTCGTCGGTCTCTCTGGCACTCACCTGTCTCTCTCACTCCCACCTGTCTCTCTGGCACTCACCTGTCTTTCTCTCTGGCACTCACCTGTCTCTCTGACACTCACCTGTCTCTCTGACACACAACTGCCTGTCTCTCTCACTCTCACCTGTCTCTCTCACTCTCACCTGTCTCTCTGACACTCACATTTCTCTCTCACTCTCACCTGTCTCTCTGACACTCACCTGTCTGTCTCTCTGGCACTCACCTGTCTCTTTCTCTGTCACTCACCTGTCTCTTTCACTCTCACCTGTCTCTCTGACACTCACCTGTCTGTCTCTCTGGCACTCACCTGTCTCTTTCTCTGGCACTCACCTGTCTCTCTCACTCTCACCTGTCTCTCTGACACTCACCTGTCTGTCTCTCTGGCACTCACCTGTCTCTTTCTCTGGCACTCACCTGTCTCTCTGACACTCACCTGTCTCTCTTACCCCTAGATTCCACCGGGTCCGTCTGCGCCGCGTTGCGGTTTTGGTCCGGCCTCCTCCGGCGTCATACCCTACCAGGCGCGTTTCAGAAGCATTTCAGAAGCGGAGCGTCTTGCCTGCCGGCTCGCAGTTTTTGTTGATTTGGGCATATTTCCTGGACAGGCTACTTTGTACAGACAAAGTTAATAATAACTGTAATATTCCAGTTATAAACGACATGAATCAAAGATGTGTTGCTGTATTTTAGTGTTAAAAAAATGCATTCATCATCATAATTATTCTATATATATAATTTACACAGTGCCTGTAAACCGGAGGAGAACGCTGGCATTTCTCCTCCTACTTGAAAGACTACGGAGGGATAGGGTCTGCAAAATTAGTTTGTGTGTGTATATATCTATATATATATGCTATATATGCTCTGAAAGTTCCACTTCCTGCCTGCCCGACCTTACATTACGGCTGCGCCGCGACAAAAATAGGATTCGATCCTAATTTTAGAGGAGCCCTGCGCCGAGCCGCTTCTGGGACGCTTCTGAGCCGTAACGCGCCGCCCATTGACTAGAGTGGCCGCGATCGCCGCGATCGCCGTGAGCACCGCGGCACAGCCGTAACGCGCCCGTAACGCGCCGCAGACGGACCCGGTGGAATCTAGGGGTTAGACACACCTGTCCGTCTCTCTGACACTCACCTGTCTCTCTGACACTCGCCTGTCTCTCTCGTTGCCCAGGTAACCAGGAGAGGGGCTGGAACGACCCCCCCCAGTTCTCCTACGGCCTCCAGAAGGCCCGCGGGCCTCAGAGGAGCCTCCTGACCCGGAGAGCAGGTAAACAACACCTTCTTTCAAGCTGTACCTGCTTCAGTGTTGCTGCTCACCCTCTGTCTGAAACCAGTGCTGCTCTGATTGGTTAGCTGGTCGGCTCTGAAAAAAAGTCGGAATTCTTACATTTTTGGAAAAAAAAGTCAGATTTTATTGTTTTCAGAAAAATATCAGAATTTTGAGATCATCATACATCCTGTGCTGCAGCACCTCTTTTCACCCTCTGTCTGAAACCAGAGTCAGTCTGCTCTGATTGGTTAGCTGGCAAGGCTCTGTTGTGATTGGTCAACACCTTAGAGATGTCCCGCCCCTTAGCCTATCACGTACAATGTGTTGCAGCGCGAAAGTTCTGTAATGATGTCACTATGAGGAAGTAATCAAAGAAGTCTGATGGAGGCGTTTCAGGCGGGGGGTGGGTGGGAACTCTCTCTGCTTAGCCTAGCTTCCCTTAGCCTAGCTTCCCTTAGCCTAGCTTAGCCTAGCTTCAATGCAGCAGTGTAAGAATGTTTACAGAACAGTATCAACTCTAACTCTTCGACCCTGATTGGTTTTCCGGTGCCCCGCCCGCCCCCTCCCTCCACCAACCCTCTGGCTCTGCCTCCAGGCGCTGTGGCCCCGCCCCCTCCCTCCACCAACCCTCTGGCTCCACCTCCAGGCGATGTGGCTCCGCCTCCAGGCAATGTGGCCCCGCCTCCTCCCTCCACCGACCCTCTGGCTCCGCCTCCAGGTGCTGTGGCCCCGCCCCCTCTGCACCCAGGTAAGCAGCAGGAGGAGAAGCATGTTTCATCATAGCAACAAGCGTAATTGACAGCAGACTCCTCCCCTCTCATTCACAGCCCGCCCTCCTGCCAGCTGTGTGGCCACGCCCCCTCCCCCTCTGGGACCAATGAGAGGCCAGAGAGAGGCGGACAGCAGCCAATCAGAGAGTGAGCCTGATGCAGAGCGAGTGATGTCCGTCCTGAACCGAGCGCTGAGCGCCTGCCGACACAACGCCAGCGTGAGGACCAGCTCTGTCATTAAATATATATATTACAAGTATATATACATATAATATATAGAACTCTGTGTGACCTCTGACCTCTGTGTGACCTCTCCAGGATCAGGTGTGCAGTGACGTGGCGAAGAGGCTCCGCCTCCTGGAGGTCAGCTGGAGGGGGGGGCGGCTCAGCCTCCCAGTGAGGAGACGCATGGAGAGCCTGACTCTGGGTACCTGTCTCACTCTCAACTGTCTGTCTCTCACCTGTCTGTCTCTCACCTGTCTCACTCTCACCTGTCTCTCACCTGTCTGTCTCTCACCTGTCTCACTCTCGACTGTCTGTCTCTCACCTGTCTCACTCTCGACTGTCTGTCTCTCACCTGTCTGTCTCTCACCTGTCTCACTCTCACCTGTCTCACTCTCAACTGTTTGTCTCTCACCTGTCTCACTCTCAACTGTTTGTCTCTCACCTGTCTGTCTCTCACCTGTCTGTCTCTCACCTGTCTGTCTCTCACCTGTCTGTCTCTCACCTGTCTGTCTCTCGCCTGTCTCACGTTCACTTGTCTCTCTCTCACCTGTCTGTCTCTCACTTGTCTGTCTCTCACCTGTCTGTCTCTCACCTGTCTCTCTCTCACCTGTCTCTCTCTCACCTGTCTCTCACCTGTCTGTCTCTCACCTGTCTGTCTCTCACCTGTCTGTCTCTCACCTGTCTCTCTCTCACCTGTCTCTCCTGTCTCTCACCTGTCTGTCTCTCACCTGTCTCTCACCTGTCTCTCTCCTGTCTCTCACCTGTCTCACTCTCACCTGTCTCTCACCTGTCTCACTCTCACCTGTCTCTCTCCCAGATCTGCAGATGGGTCAGTGGGATTCTGCTGATGAGCGTCACCTGTCTCTGATGGTGGATCATGTGACTGAGGTCAGCCAATGGATCGTCGGCGTCAAGCGCCTCATCGCTGAGACCCGGAAACTGAGTCCAGAACTCCTGGAGAACCTCAAAGAACCCCTGAAGAACCTCAAAGAACCCCTGAAGAACCTCAAAGAACCCCTGGAGAACATCAAAGAATCCCTGGAGAACCTCAAAGAACCCCTGAAGAACCTCAAAGAACCCCTGGAGAACATCAAAGAATCCCTGGAGAACCCCAAAGTACCCCTGGAGAACCTCAAAGAATCCCTGGAGAACCCCAATGAACCAAAACCAGTACAGAACCCTTCAGAACCAGAATCCTGATCTTGATCCTGGACCTGATCCTCAGCAGTAACTGTTTTCTGATCCTGTTCTCCTCTGGTCTCTGTGATAAACCTGGTTCTGGTCTCTGTGATAAACCTGGTTCTGGTCTCTGTGATAAACCTGGTTCTGGTCTCTGTGATAAACCAGGTTCTGGTCTCTGTGATAAACCTGGTTCTGGTCTCTCTGATAAACCAGGTTCTGGTCTCTGTGATAAACCTGGTTCTGGTCTCTCTAATAAACCTGGTTCTGGTCTCTGTGATAAACCTGGTTCTGGTCTCTCTAATAAACCTGGTTCTGGTCTCTCTAATAAACCAGGTTCTGCTCTCTGTAATAAACCTGGTTCTGGTCTCTCTAATAAACCTGGTTCTGGTCTCTCTAATAAACCTGGTTCTGGTCTCTGTGATAAACCTGGTTCTGGTCTCTCTAATAAACCAGGTTCTGGTCTCTCTAATAAACCTGGTTCTGGTCTCTGTGATAAACCAGGTTATGGTCTCTCTAATAAACCAGGTTATGGTCTCTGTAATAAACCTGGTTCTGGTCTCTAATAAACCTGGTTCTGGTCTCTAATAAACCTGGTTCTGGTCTCTGTGATAAACCTGGTTCTGGTCTCTGTGATAAACCTGGTTCTGGTCTCTGTGAAAAACCTGGTTCTGGTCTCTGTGATAAACCTGGTTCTGGTCTCTGTGATAAACCTGGTTCTGGTCTCTGTGGTAAACCTGGTTCTGGTCTCTGTGATAAACCTGGTTCTGGTCTCTGTGGTAAACCTGGTTCTGGTCTCTGTGATAAACCTGGTTCTGGTCTCTGTGATAAACCTGGTTCTGGTCTCTGTGATAAACCTGGTTCTGGTCTCTGTGGTAAACCTGGTTCTGGTCTCTGTGATAAACCTGGTTCTGGTCTCTGTGGTAAACCTGGTTCTGGTCTCTGTGATAAACCTTCTGAAAGGCCAGTCTACTTGATGCACTTTAACGCAGGGGCATCTCCTACACTGTAGCTGCTACACGTGGTAGCTGCTACGTGGTAGCTGCTACAGTGTGCTGCCATGTGGTGAATGCTTATCTGCTGCTCTTGCTCTTTCTGCACATCATGTCTTTATTGTGCCATGTTTATAAATGTCATGTTCTTAAATGTTCTATGTGAGGGAGGGTCTACGGGTGGAAACTAGCTCAAAGCTCAAATCCGGCATTTTTACGTTTTTAAAGCATTATTTGTTTTAAATGTTCATCAATGAGCACTGTCCCTACTGCTGGAGAGAGATGAGGACCCTCCTGTGTGGCAGTTACAGGCCCATATCCCTTTGAAACGTAGACTCTTAAGACCTTGGCTAAGGTTCTATCTAGCCGTTTCCAGAGGGCAACCTGGTCTCACCAGAATGCGTGACTCCACCACGACTCCTTAACACCGCAGTGCGTGGTGGAGTCACGAACTTTGCTACATTTACGTGTCTGCACCACGCAAACAACCCCAATGTAAAGTGAATGAGGCTCCTTTGTCGTGGTGCACACACACATTTCTACAACGTCCAGCAGTGAGCTTTTATTCTATACAACGTTTGTAAAATCTACTTTATAGCTTGTAGTAACTCACAGGAGGCTTCTTTTATTTTATTTGTATTCATAATCATTTTTATTTTTCGTCAGAATGTATTATGGTGCATTAGTTACGAATTTTTGTTCTCAAAAAACAGTGCATTGTGTGTAATACAACTGTGATTTGTATTAAATTAGTTAGTTTTTAAGGAAGGCCAGAGCTTCAGCTGTGTCAAATAGATTGTTCCCTTTAGTTAACGTTATTTAAAAGATAATTATATTCCTATTTGATCATGTCCCCTTTATTGTATTACGGACGCAGAGAGCAATGTGAGCGTCCATTCCCATTGGATAACGTACGTAGGATTTTACACCCGGAAGTAAGTATTCTCCTTACTGTCGATTGATTTTACAGTGATATCTGCACTACTCATCAACTCAAAAACACCAGATTATCCTTGTTAATTACACAACATTGATTGGTTTAAATTGTGTACAATGCTTTTGTAATTTTCCCCTTTCGATTCGGAGAAACAAATATTTGTTCAGAGTTTAGGATGGCCGAATACACTACACTACCCAGAATCCTCAGCTATTGTTCCGCTTTGCCTCAAGCTCTGTGATTGGTTGACCTCCAACTGCATTCCATATGAAAAAAAACGTTTCGTAAAAGATCAAATCATACTTTATTCAGCAGTGCTTGCTTTACTCTTTGAAAGTCATCACATGAATGCATTGTAATAAATGGTTTGGCTGCATTAAATATTACACATCTGTCGTAGTTCTTTATTTATCTACAGAGATCGGCCTCAGAATAGACCGGAAACTATTCTTTTACCGTTCTGTTTTAATTTCACAATAAAGTTAGTAGTAATAATTTGTTTTGATATTATTGTTTTTTATTAACTACTAGACCGCTGGGTCATGTTAAGACCATCTTTTCTGTGTTGCTGTGGGTTTTTTTACATCGCTTTTGTGTTACAAATATCAAAACAATAACAGAATATATCCGTCGTAAACTAAACCGGAAACAGCAGTATATTTTATTTTGTTAACACTGTAAACTTGACAGCTTTTTAACCCGCACCTCCTACTGGTTAAAGCACGTTATTACATGTTTAGAGTCATTGCAATGCAGGTAGATTGTGTTGCTTTTTAATGACTGTTTAAAATGCCTTTTTCTTAATGTCTTTCATTTTTGTAAAGCACTTTTGAATGTGTTATATTTGATGAAAACATTTAAATATTAAGAGTACATACTCTTAATATAGTGGGAAAGTGGAAGGTCAATGATATAAATAATATAGAATAGAAAATATCAAGAAGATACTGTAAGTGATCTCTACAATAAAACAGTTTAGTGCCTGATAGGAGGATGTGCAAAACAGACAAACTAATAAGGCTTTATTTAAACATGAAAGAATACTTTAGGTTAAGGTCTTCTTTTAAATAAGAAAAAAGCTTTGGGGGTATCTACAGATATTAAGCCTGACAAAGTACTTAACGTCTAATATATTGCATGGTTTGTTTTGGAACTTGACAATCAACTTTCCTGCAAAGTTAACTATGTTGAAGCACTTATTTTAACCGATATTATACATATTTATTATACTCTTATAAGATGTATGTAGATAGAATAAGAAATGTGCAGAATATGACAGTTTAATGGTGGAGGTACACACATATTGATAGATCTCCTGTTGAGGAACCTATGACCCAAGTTTGTCATCATTGCATAACTACACCGTAGTTGTGTATATGATATTTCAATAAACCTTTGAAAATCTTGAAATCTTGAAAGGGATGTGCAAAATAGCCATTATATACAGTTTTTAATAACTATTAGAGAATAACGAGTAATGAATATACTTTATAGAGATCTGCAGATAAATATTTAGTCTTCTCAAGCACCCACTACCAAATATCTCTCCTGATTGTTTGCACTTGACAATCACCTTCACTGAATTTTACTCAGGTGTAACTAAAGTTTGATTTAAGGGTTGTTTATATTTCACATCATTAATCCAAATCTGTAAAGTAACTAAAATAAATGTAGTAGAAATACCAGGTTAACCTTAAAGAAAGCCCTCAGGATTATAAAAGACCCCCATCACCCCAGCCACATTTTGTCTGTTCTGTCTGCTGCCGTCTGGCAGGCGGTACCGCAGCATCCGGACTAAAACCACCAGACTCAGGGACAGCTTCATCCCACAGGCCAGAAGACTATTAAACACCTGAACTTTGAAACAACATCCATAACATTCATACTTAGAAATTATTTATCTAATATATCATATTCCAATCACTTGTATATAGACTCTTATTGCACTATTTCACTTTTTACTATTTTACCATTTTTCTTTTTGTATTTACTTGCACTATTTTGTCTGTGTATCTGTTTTATTGTGTTGCACTGTTGGAGGAGCCTGTGACCTAAGGGGGGGGGGGGGGGGGTAGGACACGTTCGAGTCTTGATTTGGATAGTGTGCCGTCGATGGGTTTCATTCCATTTCAAAGTGCTGTTTGACGCTCCGTGTAAACTTTGCGCACTGCCACTCCAACATCCAATCACAGAGCTTGAGGACTAATCACGGGGTTTGTCAAATAGTCCCATAGCTGAGGATTCTGGGTAGTGTAGTGTCTTCTGCCATCCAAAAACTCTGAAAAAATATTTGTTTCTCTGAATCGAAGGGGAAAAACACAAAAGCACAATTTAAACCAATCAATGTTGTGTAATTAACAAGGATAATCTGGTGTTTTTGAGTTGATGAGTAGTGCAGATATCACTGTAAAATCAATCGACAGTAAGGAGAATACTTACTTCCGGGTGTAAAATCCTCCGTTATCCAATGGGAATGGACGCTCACATTGCTCATTTAATAAAATGTTGTATTACAGAGAACAAAAATCCGTAACTAATGCACCATAATACATTCTGACGAAAAATAAAAATGATTATGAATACAAATAAAATAAAAGAAGCCTCCTGTGAGTTACTACAAGCTATAAAGTAGATTTTAAAAACGTTTTATAGAATAAAAGCTCACTGCTGTACGTTGTAGAAATGCGTGAGTGCACCAAGACAAAGGAGCCTCATTCACTTTACATTGGGGTTGTTTGCGTGGTGCAGACACGTAAATGTAGCAAAGTTCGTGACTCCACCACGCACTGTGGTGTTAAGGAGTCGTGGTGGAGTCACGCATTCTGGTGAGACCAGGTTGCCAGAGGGTGATGCCGGGCCTGATCGATCCCGACCAGACAGACTTTATCTCAGGACGACAGTCATTAACACCAGCAGGTTGTTTAACATGATGTATTGTCCCTCCACTAGTTCCCCTGAAGTTGTCCTCTCTTTGGAAAAGGCATTGGGCCGAGTAGAGAGGGGATATCTGTTCTACTTCAGCAGGGACTTTGATTCATGGATTCAGCTCCTCTAAACATCTCCGGTAGCTTCAGTTCAACACTGTTCAGTCTGTTGTCGCTCTCCCGCGGGAATAGGCAGGGTTGTCCTCTATCTCCGTCATTATTTGCGCTTGCAGTCGAGCCTCTAGCCTTAGGGCTTCGTAGTGAGGAAGGATTTAGGGGCATCACGCGCTTTGTATGCAGATGAGCTGTATATCTCCAGCCCATCGTCCTCCCTTCCTAGCATGCTAAGCCCTTTAGAGCAATTGAAGAAGCTGTCTGGCTACAAACTCAACCTCCAGAAAAGCGAATATTTCCCTGTTAACACCCTCGCTGAAAAACGTCCCCAAGCTCTCTTTCCTTTTAAGAAGGTCTCAGAGGGATTGAAATACCTG